CTTTAATAATAATTCTGGTAAAAGAGTCTGAGGATACTAGAAATAATGCCTAGCTGTCAAAAATGAAAATATTCCTCGGTGACTACAATGATAATACATGACAGGAGGAACAGACGCGCACGGTCCAGGACTAAAACATCATTTTGACCTGTTGTTTAACAGATAAACTGTAGGAGGCAGTAGCACGCCACGACGGAGCGGGTGGTTCCGCGGAAACAAAGACGGCGAAGAAGAAAAGAAAGCGTCAGTGACGTATTTCCGCCGTCAGTGGAGCTGCCGCGGGTGATGTCAGAGAGGAGAACTAAACTTCAGCTCACACACTTGAAGACAGACGACGCGACAGCGTGCAAAACAACCTGTGCACGCAGAGACAGCACTTTGTTCGCGTAGCATCTAAGCTATCTAGTCTCCAGCTCCGCCATGGCCAAGGTACAGGTGCTAAATGTGGCTGTGCTGGACAACCCGAGCCCGTTTGGAAACCCGTTCCAGTTTGAAATAACGTTCGAGTGCATGGAGGATTTGCCGGAAGGTTGGTGTTGTGTTCAGTCTGCGTGTGATACCAGTTTACTGAGTATGAGTGATGCTAGCTCTTGAGTACCCGTTAGCAGAATGCTAACTTATGTGGTATCCCGCGTGAAGATCTGAGCGCCCCGTCGCTGCGTTAGGCGGTGACGTCAGTGTGAACGGTCCTCTGCGCTCGTTTCTCGTGTTTCTTTTGACGAGTTGTTGAATTTTGGCGCTGGCGGGTTTGCGCTCCGCGGCCCGCCCCCTGCTCGCAGCGATTGGCCCAGATACGTACTTCCGAGTTGTTTCCGCTAAGCTGATTGGTCGAGCGCGTAATGTTTCTGTAGCAACAGACAAGCTGAGCGAGTTGCCGCGAACCGCCGGGTGACAACAGGGAAACAGCAAGTGGCACCAGGGACACACTGAACACGAAGTGCCCTCAGCCTGGAGCTACTGCACCGATACATCATCAAAACAGACTTTATTCATACAGCACTTAATTCAAATACACGTTTGAACAAGTTAATGCAAGGGACAATGGATATAATAAAGCAAAAAAAAACAAAAACCGCTTATTTAAAAGCAATATGAAAATAAAAACAACGAAACAAACTTACAAGAGTTAAAAGCAATTTAATAAAGATGTATTTTTCAAAGACGATAACTAAACCTCTGATGGACAGAGGGAGGTTGTTCCACAGCTGTGGAGCCCTGACTCCTTCTGTCTCCAGTCCCTGGGTACAGAGAGCAATGTTGCTTAGCAGATGTAAGATTACTAGCAGAAGCATAATGCAGAGAGCGTCTGCTATGGAAAGTGCTTTTAAAAGTCATTTGATTATAAAATTAGTTCTCAAAATCAACAAGGGTAGCCAGTGCAATGATGCCAGAATGGGTGTGATGTGATCATATTTAGACTATTTGAGAGAACCCTTGCTCCGGTGTTTTTACTGTTGGGCGACAAGCAAAACCACATTTTTATCCACACTGTGTTCTGAGACATATTTCTGTTTATTGTTAGTTTAGGTCAATGTAAACCACAGTGCCCAGAGATGCCCTGATAACAGGTTCCATAGTGATCTCTAAGAGGAAGTATTCATTTGTTTATTGTTATTTTCTCTGATGGTATTTCAACTAGACTTGGACCTTTTATTTTGAGATAATACAACTTAATATGAAAAATGTTCTGATAAAATTTCCCCTTATGATTACAAAACCTGGACTCTGCATATAGGCTGATACGCAGTACTGATCCATTATAAGCCCATCAAAAAATAAAACAACTCATGTGCTATATGCTGCTAACCCCTGGAAATGATTGCTATTTTGTTGTATGGCCAGGCTAAGGTTAAACCTTTTGAAAAACAAATGCATACAGAGGATGAATGCCATAGAATGTATTATCTAGTTGACAATCATAATTGAAAGAGGAAATAATATATCTTGGAATTCACAATTTCTTCCTTTAAATAGTTTTTGAGGTGCACTTCCAGTTGGAAATACTGTATTGCCAAAGTGCTGACATTTGAACTAGCTCTGTCTAATGCTACATAGCCAGAAATGGTTTCTTCTTCACCTCTCTAAAATCAGTTCTTGCAGTGGCAGTGCAGTGCAATTTTTGGCAGAATTAAAGGCATTCCAGGTGCTGGAATTGGCATGAGAATGTCTCTACTTAATATGACAGTCAAATTCAACAAGTAGTCTTAGAGCAAAGATTTAACAATAGAATACCCATGTTTCGTGTTTGTGTGTGTGATATTCCTTAAACTGAGCTATGCCTTCTCACTGTTGTCCTTTATGGCTGTCAGACCTGGAGTGGAAAATCATCTATGTTGGTTCAGCTGAGAGTGAAGAATATGACCAGGTCCTAGACTCTGTTCTTGTGGGCCCGGTACCAGCTGGCAGACACATGTTTGTCTTTCAGGTGAGTAAGCTGTGGTTAATTGTTAGCTAGAGATAAAGTTCTGCCTGATATATTTTATACCTTGGTTTGGTTCATTCATATGGTTGTAACTGCACTAACAGTTGGGTAACTGTCGACCTTGATGTAATTTTTTTCCATGTTGGTCCCCTCAGGCTGACGCTCCTAACACAGGGCTGATTCCAGAAAGTGACGCTGTAGGAGTGACAGTGGTCCTCATAACCTGCACCTACCGTGGACAGGAGTTTATTCGTATTGGGTACTATGTCAACAATGAATACACAGACCCTGAACTACGAGAAAACCCACCTCTCAAACCAGACTATACTCAGGTAACACACGCACAGATGTCAGTCACTGTCTGTAATGTGCCTACTTATGAAATCTCAATCTCAAAATGTGGGATCTCTGTGCACGATTATTCTTTCTTTTTTTAAATTGTCTGCAACCTTGTGTTTTTATTGGTGCTGCTGCTGGCTCCTTTGGCCAATTTTCCCTTGAAAAATAGATTTTTAATCTGTCCTGAAAAATAAATGTTGAATAAATCAATAAGCCGAGTTCTATCACAGATAGAAGTGTAAATTATCAAAGTGGCTGACCTGTATAATTATAAAGTATAAACACATGGTGTAGTACATGTGCCATGCTTATGAAAAGGGTCTATTAAATTATACATTGTCTTCTGTTGTCCTCTGGTGTTCTGAAATAGGTGTTGCAGGCAAAAGCACCATCAAAAACAACTATAACAATTTTTCTTTTCTATTTCTATCTTTTATTCCCTCTTTATTCTAAAAGAAGTAGAGGGGCAGGCCATATTTAGGTGCATCATTTTAGCACTGTTTTGAAGCGATAAATTAATCCATGATAATGATGCCTCCTGGTAACATTAGTATTACATTTTATCTTTCCGGCCTTGTCCTAAGCCACTGATCAAATTCTTCGTTATTAAAATGTTTGGACTGCACCATCCTAATTTAAATTTGAAGTTTGAGTTTTAAAGATTCACAGTCGGTTCTAACCAATGTCAGAACCTTACTCTATTGAATAAGGATATTGCATTAGTCCTGGATCCATTAGTCAGTAAATGAATTGATTGATAATATGTATAACATCTGTTATACTTAAAGGTATCAAGGACGAATGCAACATATTCCCTAGTTTTAGATTCTCAGATTAGAGTGATTAGAAATGTAACCTTATGGAGGAGTAGTGTTGGTCACACAATATAAGTAATTTGACTAATGACACATTGTGCCCCATGATACTTAACTGATTAAAATAATTAATTTCTAATTTAAACAATCAATAATTACAGAATGTGAAAAGAATTACTTGCTACCTTGCACTGCTCAACAGTGACATCTTGGACAGAAAACAAGTGTCTTTATCGCCACCTAGTGGCTGGCTCCAGTGTAGGATATAAACCCCACCTCCTCCATCCTCAAATACTCGTTGCTGAATAATTATTTAATCAGGATGGATTCATTTTAGGTAGTTCTCATCACACAAATGATTTTTCCAGTAAATTAGATTTAAATTGGTCATTTGATGATTTAAAAAGCAGGATGGAATGTCATGATTCACAGCTCAAACTGAATCGCAATTGGTCTACCGCATGTATCAGCGGGACCTCAATTCTGCAGACCCATTTCCCAGATCGTCAGTGCGCAGGCTCTGCCTCCAAATGCCCTCATTGGCACAATGAATTAATCGTGCTCTATCAAATTGAGCCAAAATCGTCTCCAGTATAAAACTTTAAGAAGAAACACAAAATCCCATCCCACTTTAAAAAAAAGAAGCTGGTGAAAGGAGAACTCAGGCAGCAGCTGATGTCTTATGCAGAAGATTTTAATGTAGACTTGATGCATCAAGGAGACCAGAAGGTGCAACAATATACAAGCGCTTACAGAGTAACATGAGCAACTGTCACCCCCAAGTCTCAAGATGTCTCCCACAGCATCCCCATATATCTTCCTCTACTTGCGTCACCCTTCCATCAGCACATCTATGAAAGGATAGAATTGCCTTCACTCTCGCTGCAACATGTAGGTTTTTATCGCATCCTATTGGATAGTTAAGTCTAAAGCATGCATACCTAAATCATATTGTGTCCTTATATCTTGCCACTGGTGTAATACGCAAAAGAGTTGGAGTTGGTGCCTCTCTGTCTGGGACATCTGAATTGGGTAAGAAAGTCCTTCAATGTAGATACTAAAATGCACTGCTGGTTGAGAGGGGAGTATGTATGGAATTAGACAGGTAATATTCCCCTTATGGTGTACAGATGTAATGTCTGAGGGTGTTCAAAAATTCCTCAACAGGTAGGGTCTGAAAGGGTCTGATGAAAATGTGTTTACAGAAACCTAAGACCTATTGTTAAACTAATGTCGATACCTAACCCGATGCTTTCATCCTCTCAGCTCCAGAGGAATATTTTAGCCTCCAATCCTCGAGTCACCCGCTTTCATATCAACTGGGAGGGCTTGGCGGACAAGATGGAGGACAGCGAGAATGTGGACCCATCTCCAAACATCAGCGGCATGCTCCCTCCTTCCTGTATAACAGGAAAGATGCCACCTCTTGGACTAATGCCAGACAACTCCATGGACTGCATGTAAGAATCATCAGTTCGACGTAACGGACATGAAGCTCTTATTTTCTGTAACTCACCCACATCGAAAGCACACACATCTGGACAAGGAGGCCATGGATGTATCTATGTGACGTGTGGACATTATGAGAGAGCATGGACATATCAGCGGGAACACTTTTTTTATATTACTTAACACAATAGCATCTTGGATATCTGGCAAAAGTTATCTCTCTCTTCATAACCAGCATTGCCTTATTTTTTTTTTATTTTTTTTTGACATATCTCTGTCTTGCATCACGTTATAGCTGAGCCAGAGACATTTTGAGTCATCAGGGTGTGGTGATTGTATAACAGGAATGTTGTGTCCTCATGGCCCCTGAGACTTGCAAGTCATACTCCTACACTGATATTGACCTGTTTGGTTCACTCTGTCCATGCTATGGGCAGCCCTATATATGTCAGAATAGGTGTACCTCTGGGTGCTTATAGAAAAACAATGCATTGTTCTGTACATTTGTGTCATCTCATGTAAATCAGTAGCGTCTGGTGGAAACAAATCTTAGTTTTATAATATGGGCCATGTTCAGGGGTGTGTTGCAATGAGCAGCTTTACCTGCAGTTAGCTGGACAGCCTGTGCAGAGTACATCCCTTTACTTAAACCTGCTGCTTTGAACAGCAACTCTTAATATGTTACATAAGATGTCTGTCTGCAGGAAACATGGAGCTGAAGGAGAAACAGAGGCCACATTGCAGTCAAATTGCTTTTGAAATTTTAGGCTCACTGTAAATAATGTTTACTAAGTGCTTATTTTTTCTTCCAGATAAGAAGACCTATTTTCTTTTTTTACTTACTATATAATCTGCCTCAGTATTTGTTATAACAGTGATGGGATTAATAAAGTTGGTTTTGTGGACCTTTTGCAGCTTTATTATAATCGCCACATCTTACACTGCTGCTTTCCTTCCTCACTTGTTAAGACAGAAGCTCAGCAGCAGAGAGACTGTGCTAGCGTGTGTGAGAGTGTGTGAGTGTGCATCATCCCATTCTAACCCTCCCCCTCTCTGCCTCTCTTTTTCCCAGTTTCATTCATAAAATGCAGCAGCATCACTCCACCATTTTCACTCTAGCCTCAAGTTGCTAGGCAACTGCAGAACCATAGGGAGGCGGGGGCTGTCTGCTCTTCCCCATTTTATCTCCTCTTAGATGGAGGGACTAAATCCTTCATCCATACATCTGTTATCTCTGTGTGCTTCTCCCATGTCTACACTGTTTAATGATACTCAGTGACTGGTTAGACACAAATGCCAGGTAAAAGCACTGGAATCTGGGGATTGTAAAAAAAAAAAAATGCTTCAAATATGTGTTTGGTGACAGAATCCATGTGTGGCATCACCTGACCTCTTATAACTGCCTGTGGCTGTAAATATTTGCTCCTTGTCTTTGTTTAATATCACTGAACTAAACACGTTTTCATTCTGGGCTGTGTGACAATGAAAACAAGTTGGTTAAAGACAGAGGTTGTAGTTTGCCAGGAAAGTTAAACAATTAACCGAACACAGGAATACGACAGTGCAAACATTTTTGAGAATGGACTGAAATGACTTAAAATATACATTTTTTTTAATGTAATAAAACAGGTGGTAGTAGCTGTTCGTAGTATTTGATGATTTCATTTCAAAGATCAAATCCTTATTATTGGAATTGATATTCAGATGTAGGTCTATGTGAAATTGTGCCTTTTGAGCATCCTGATGATGCCTTGGGCATCTGCTGCACTCACCCCTGTAGGTGATGCAGGTTTGGGGAGAGGATGGGAGAGATACTGCTGGATGAGGATTATGTCTAGAAAAGGATGTTGTCACACACACACACACACACACACACACAGTATTAAAAGACAAGATAATCCTTTATTAGTCCCACAATGGGGGAATTTGTAATTGCAGATAATATGGATGTATCATCCTGACTCATGGGATACGATGATCAATATGCTGCTGCTAGATATTGATATTTAATTATTTCGCCTTTATATATAGATACATAGACTTAGGAGGCACTAAGATAAGACTTAATGCACATTCGTGTGCATTGTTTAATTTCACTTTGTTTCAAACTGACACTGGCACCACATTGCAGTGAATAAATACACAAGGCAGATATATATGAGAAATACAGTTTATATATAGATATGAGACTCTGTGTATGTTTTTTTCTTCATCCATCACCGATCGTAAAAAGACACTCGTCTTTTGTTATTTCCAGTGAGTGATTCATTTCCCACCGCATCACATCCACTCTTACCTCCGCGCGCGCGCGCCTATCTGCTATCTGTTTAGAAGCCCTGCCAGCCAGACCGCGCCGCGCGTGCGTGCGTTCAAAATCTGACCAACATTTCTAAAAATATCTCGCGGCTGACGTCACTCAGCCAAACGTGTATCAGTCGCTCGGCGGCGGTGATGAAGGGGGGGGGTCCTTTTTCTTCTTCTTTTTAGGGAAGGGTGGGGGCGCGCATTCCTGTCAGCCAATCACAATCCTCGCCTCCACTGAGGTTCCCACGGTTCGGCCGCTCTGAGCCAATGGAGAACAGGGACCAGGAGAAAGTGGGCGCGCACGTCGTCAGGAGGAAAATAGTCGCTGACGCCCCCCTCGCTCGGTTTTTATAGGGCGGCTGGACGCTGCCGTTTTTTTTTTTTGCAAACGGCCAATCAGAACGTTCTCTACCACAGATGCAGCCAATCCGCGGCCTCGCTTCACGCCGTCAATCAACCCCCTCCCACCGTATATGGCAGAGTGGGCGGGGCGTGCGCTCGGCTGTAGTTCCGTCATCCCGCCTGTCTGCGAGCCTTCAGGGGCCGATGTTGATCTGGACCAACTCCCGCTGCTGCCGGACCCCGCCGAGGCTTCATCTTTCAGAAAGCCGATCATATTGGCAGCTTCTCGGTTGAGAACGTCGCGCCCCCGCCCAAAGGTGGTTTTTTTGGGGGGCTGGGGGAGAGAGGTGGGGAGCCGGGGGGGGGCCTCGCTCGGCGGGGGCTGCAAGGAGGTACAGGAGGAGACTGGATCCACCGTGTCCAGGCCAACTGTGACGGAGCTCGGCCTGAAGGTCCGGCGAAGCCCCACCGACCGGGGGGACCGCAGCGACAGCTTCCCGTGGGTGTTACGCTCGACATCGTTGGCTGTCGCTGGTGACACCGTGGAGGGAGCGAGCCGAGCCCGCAGAGCTCTCCCGTCTCCGCCGTGGCACCGCATCGGCAGCTGTCAGGCTACCACCGACCAGGAGCTCGCAGCTGGATTTAAGAAAACGCAGTTCAGACCTGTGATCGAGATAAGACCGGCTTGAGGAGGAGGCGGCGGGGCGGCGAGAAAGCCACGGATCGCCAGTTGTCCACTTGTCATCATGGGCAACGCGCCCACGGCCAGGAAGGGCAACGAGATGGAAAGCGGTGGGTACCTCCGCCAGCACACATCGCTCCCGGCCAGCACCTGCTCCGCTCCGGCCCCATGACACGAGCAGAGACGGTGTGATACGACAGGCTGTGCTAGCTTCACACAACAACACACACACCGTCCATCGCAGGCCTATTCCGGCTTTGCGATCCATGAAGATCCCGCTTGTGTCAGCTCCCAAGAACACACATCACATATATTTAAATCCACACACACTCACACATTAATGCATGCATAGTGTGAGTATTGTTCAGCTGTGGATCTGTTGGATCTGATTCATGTGGATGCTGGGGCAGGATGGAGCAGGATGTAGTGATGTTTCTCTGCTCAGGTTCTGTATGAGCTGTGGACAGAAACCCTGTTGTAAATGACACTGAGGCCATGTATGTCTGCAGGTCTGTCTGAGCTGGTCTCAGTGTGTCTGCTGTACTGTAGGTCCAGTGACCCTCCAGTGTTATGGTATGACAGTATGTAAATGTATGGCAGACCCCTGCCTCTGTTTCTTTATTAGAACTCTGAAGTCAGCCTTGATATTGGCTGGCTGGCCCGAGTACCCATACACACACTTAGAGAACATTTGAATGTTTGAAATATCTTATCAACCAAATATTCTCAACAGTTAAGTGAAAAGTGAGACATGTGACGGAAGGAGAGTGCGAGATGTGGTTTGAGTGTGTAATCCAGTGTCATAGTGTTTGTACACTTTACTCAGGCATATTTCTTTTTCAGGGACTTGAAAACTCGACCTGTTTGGAGAGATTTATAGGAACTAAGATCACATACGAGGCCAAGGCCCAACTGTGCCCTTATGAAACCTCATTTAAACTCACTAGCTCCTGATTTTTATTTGGATCTGCACCAAATTTCACACACTCATAAATAGCAACTCTTAAGATTTCTAATTTTTTTTTCTTAAAGATGCACAGCTAGTCTTTGAGAAATCAACAAAGAAAGTAAGTTTATTGTCAAGAAAGTAAGAATTCCTTTTCCACCTTTTTTGGTTAAATAAGTTAAACATTTAATTTAATTGATTCTTCTCATTATGCATCCTACCACCAAGTTTCGTGGTAATCTGTCCCGTAGTTTTTGCGTAATCTTGCTTACAAACAAACCAGGGCAACACAGGGGTGAAAACATAACCTCCTTGTTGGAGGTAAATATTTACAGTGAAGTTTAAATGTTAACATGCACTTTATACCTGTGACCTATGCATTTGCTGCTTTTAATTTGGTTTCCCTGGCCATAAAATTCTAATCCTGCAATTTTAGTGTTTAACTTGTTCAGGGACAAAAAATAGACGGCCTTAAGAAGAGAATGTTTTAAACCCAACTTTGACACGATCCCTCTCTTCTTCACTAGCGTGTTTCATCTAAATTGTACGAATTGTTGTTTTCTTTACCCTAGAATGGGCCCTTAATATTTAAATACTTTATATTTACATCGGGAGTGGGTCCTCATACAGAGGCAGCCATGTTTTTTTTTTTTACAGTAGCCAAAACTGTACAAACTAAACACCTTTAGAGTTTTTATGACACCTGAAGCTACCACAGGTTCTCTGTCATGTTTGGAAGGGGAGGGTTGGGTGAGGGGTATTCAGCTGCACTTCACCACAAGATGTCACTAAATTTTACACAATGCCGCTTTAAATATGAGATCAACCGTAAAATCAAATTAACACAATAAAGCTTAATCTAAAGTGATATTTACAGAACAGGATAGTTCGGGATGTTTAAGGTGCATAATCTGCATAAACGTGTTTGGCACCTTTTCATCTCATCCTTGGCCCAGTACACACCTGGCATTAACATCCGTGCTGAGAGATCCGATCACAAGTGGCCCGTGCTAAGTATGTGTGTTCACACCTGGCAATAAAATGCATCCTGAATGTGTCTCCTGTGGCTTGTGATCGGATCTCACTTCTACATGCAAATTGACACGTACGTCATTTGTGCTAGTTAAGACCAAGCAATTTTGTTTTGAGCCAGTCTGAGTTTACGGATGTGTCGGATGTGATTGTGTATGTTCGATTCGTTGTGAGAGATGGCAGCTGAGTCGGAGGTCCTTCATATGTGGCCCAGGATTGATTTGTGTTCACACTGCTAAAAGAATGTGGACACAGGAATTCTTAATCTTAAAAGGAATCTTAATCTTAAAACATGTGGCCCAGACCACCTCCGAACGTGGTCTGGTGTGATCCAATCTGAGTGCATTCACACCTTTACTTAGAGCTATCTGCTTGTGATCGGATCACAAAAACCACTTGTTAATACCAGGTGTGTTTGGGCCCCTTGTCTTTCTTTCAGTTTTTGCACTTTCTATGTGTGATGTATTCATTAAATCTGGAAATGATCAAAAAAGGGAAAATCATCATCATGCATTTAAAAAACCTAAGCAATGTTGAGACAGCATTAGCCGGACTGTATAAGTACAAATGATTTCAAAAGACACTCTGTTAAGTATTTGCTCTTTACACACATCACCAAAGTTTCTGGTTTTGTCCTCCACAGTCAAGGAGTTCCTTGCTAAAGCCAAAGAGGACTTCCTCAAGAAGTGGGAGAGTCCTGCACAGGTTAGTGTGATTATATATTATTTTATCAACATTACATAACTTTGTCTCTATAAAATTTAGCTATTTTTTATATTTTTGGGAAAAAAATCTGTACTCTTTCAGTTCTCCTCTGTGTGACCAAAGTTACATAGTTTATATGTGGGATGCTCTCTTTATTTTCTCTTATGACACTCTTCATTTCACTTGTATTTATATTTATTTAACACGTGTGTTTTTTTCTGTTCTACCAGCTGATACTTGGGAGGAAAGTCGCACATCTTTTTAGATAATTTTAAAATAATTTGGATGATCACATAAAGTGCTTTGTAAAATATGTGGGACGATGGTTCCTATTTTTAATTGAATTAAATCATTTTGCTTATGATTTTTTTATCCATCTTATCATGTCAATAATACAGATAATGTAAATACATTTAGAGACTGATCCTGGATGATAATCAACTGTGTCATCCAGTCATTAAAACTCCACACATAAATGAACTTTGAGTACATGATCGCAGTGATCAGCATTTTACAGGCACATTTGCGCACACCCACATACAAGCAAAATATGCACAACGTAAAGAAACACAGAAAGCAAATAATAGTAATAAGTGAAGTGTATTTACTCAGCACATTTAAAACAACCACATTTAACCAAAGTGCTGAACAGGCTTAAAATGTGAAAATAAAAAAACAGAAACACAGATTAAAGAGAAAACACAAAAGCAATCAAAACTTAAACATCATANCAAGCAATAAAATGTAATAAATATATAAGAATTAAAATAACATCCCACACCACAAACCCCTCCATCCTATTTTCACAAAAAAACAACTAACCCTTTATGTTTTGTGCGTTCAGAACACTGCTGGCCTGGAGCAGTTTGAGAGGTTGAAAACCCTGGGCACAGGCTCGTTTGGCCGAGTTATGCTGGTGAGACACAGAGAAACGGGACAGCATTATGCCATGAAGATCCTAAACAAGCAGAAGGTCAGTCTGGGTCGGCGGGTGGTCGTGAGGGTTGCAGCGGGGCAGTAGAGTGTGTTTAAATGTGTCCACACATGAAGGGCAAGTTCAGTTACCGTTTGTACAGGACGCTCATAGAAAACATGGACATGTCATTGATGTGGAAATTGTTACAAGGCCTGAGACATTTATGGAAATCGAGAGAAGGCCTGGAGCTCATTGTGCGTGCTGGTGCAAGGACGCAGGGACACAACAAATCCAGGTGCATCTTTGTTTTTCCCCTACGAGGTCTTTGAACCTGCTTATGAAAATATGTAGATCACATCACAAGCAGAGTCATTTTGGGAGCTAATTTAAAATAAAACTACCTGAGTTTCCATCCACTCTGATCCCCTTTTGTGGTGAAATATTTTATTAATATTACTAATTGGCTAATCCAGTGAATGTAATACCTAAAATATTTTTGATGACATTTGTGCAAAAAAGTGATGTAAATCCACTATTGTCATAAAGCTGCTCCTTGTCACTGATTTGCAGAACAGTCCAGAGACTTACAGGTTCATGTGCACACGCCATCACACGTATGAGAGTTGTTAATATGTACTTATATGTGCTGGGGACTTTAGATAACTGTAAAGCCACATTAGTTCTTTACATTTATGTTCCTATTGCACCTCCTGTAGTGGAAGAGTTCTCTCTTAAAGGACAGGGTGATATCTGCAGGATGAGAGCAGCTGATGTTAGTAGCCATTTTTGATAGCACCTGCTCAGACTGTGTAGTTTATCTCTTATCTCTACTGTTCCAGCAACTCCTACAGTTTGTGTCCCTCTGCAGCCAAATTACTTTATATGCTTGTTTGTCAGTGGAAAAATGAGTTGGATTATTTCCAGTAATAGAGCTTTTCAACATTTTCGGAAATATTTATTCCGTCTAGTACGTTGTCTTCAGCTGATATATGGTGTTATGTTTGGAGCAGTAGTGTCAGATAAAACTTGATCAAAACAATATATCATTCGAATGTTAATGCTTGCAGATGATGTGCCACCCATGCAATAAATATAATGCTAAGTACAGTTTCAATACAGTGAACATAAGTCTTTTACTGAGGCTGCTGTGATCTGAAGGAGGCAAATTAAGTTTTAAGATGCTATTATAACAGAGAACAATAGTTCAAACTAGTGTTATCAGTCCTTTTAAAACCAGCACCAGTTTTAAAACTACTGAAGATGCATACAATGTGTTAATTCCCAGCTGAATCTGAATCCACATTATCTCAGCTCAGCTCTATTTGTTTCCCAATTCATTATTAAAACAGAAATATTGACACAGTGGCAAAATTCATTTCACTGTTTTACATAATTAACATGTTAAAGGGATAGTTCGCAAAAAATAAATAAATAAAATGCCTCCATACTGCACCTGTGGTGTCATCCAAGTCTCTGTAAGCCTGGACATTCAAATTCTACTTGAAACGGTTTTTAGCTTAAACGTCTGCTACCGGTAGTAGCGATGCTAGCTGAAGTAGCAATGCTACCAGGGCTCGCATGTACCCTTGGACGAGAACATGATCATGGCTCCAGAGGAGGATATCAGAGGACATCTAGGCTTCTAGACGTAATTTCTTTCTTTTTTATTTTGAAAGATACATATGGTCACACTCTCTCCCTCTGTCTTTCTCCCTCTCTCTGCCTCTCAGGTGGTGAAGCTCAAACAGATAGAGCACACTCTGAATGAGAAGAGGATTCTTCAGGCTGTCAGTTTTCCCTTCCTGGTGCGGTTAGAGTACTCATTCAAGGTATGCTGAACTTTAATTGAAAATAATTCATATTGTACCTGGCACACCCAGCTGTCTCTAAATGAGTGAGCAGTGTATTATGGGTGAGCAGAAACACAGAACAAGTGCCACATTCAACTGCTGACAGCCCATGAACTGTCCATGATATTATGTCATAATCTGTGTTGTTGTTGTGAGTTGTCCTAAGTAAGAAATACAAAATCTGACATAGGGCTGGACAATAAAACAATATGAATAATTATTTCATCATTGTCATCAATAGAAATATAATAAATGTTCAATATGTATCGATATATCGCCTATATGTTGTTTAAACACAGTGAGGAGATTTTAGATTGTGAAACAAAACAATGAGCTCAAAGATCTTAAAACACTAAGAGGAACTGCAGTCAGCTGATAATCAAATTTACACATTCACCGTTCCTACACACATTTCTCCACTCTCTCAGATCAATTTACTGATCTCATCCTTTTTATTAAGGTCTTTGCACACCAAATCCATATTTTTTGTCTTTTTTGAAATCATCATCTAATAAAAAATCCGCACGCACAGAAACTTTTTATTATTGTCTTGTTCTGAAAAATTCAGACAGAATGGAGTCGAGCAGTGAGGATGACTTTGTCCTCTCACTTCTTTAAAAATCCAATCCTAAGAATCAGGAACCAGGAGAATGTCATCCTCTGATCAAGGAGCCAAATTATCCCAATTCTTCCCAAGTCTGTTTCAGGAAGTCTGGTCCAGTTATATAAAACTACCAGCACTGAGGCTGCAGATAAAAAAGATGAAAACCTATTTCTGTGATCCAGTTGATCCTGAACAGCTCAAACTACAGACGTGGAAAATCGTAGCAAATCGAAACTGTTCCCAGGACAAAAGTTTTTGAGCTGGTGTGTAAACGTGATTGACACAACGTGAGGTTGTATTTATTTTTAAAAGTGCGACAATTTTGAACAAAAATACTGACATGGTTTGCAAAGACCTTAACTCCGGTCGTCATTGACAATTAACCCTATTAAGAGCAATAAGTTATCAACAAATACAGAGTGAACTGAGCTTGGCTGCAGCCCACAGGCGCACTTAACTAAAGCAAACCAGCATTTGTCTCCTTCTGCTTCTTACTTTCATCTTCCTTCTCTGCTTGTGCTTGTACAGACTTACCCCGCGGATGGCCGTGCTCCAATTAAATCCTTATTTGGGTTAAGCTGTTTAGATGCACAGTGGACACCTCAAATAAACCTATTAACAGAATATTCCCGTCCACGTGTGGTGTCCAGCACACAGATGGCAGAGTCGACAACAAACGTTACATGAAGTCAGCGCGACAAGTGCATTAAGAATGAAATCCCCCTTGATGATGTAGCTCTACCAAAGGGTGATTTTTGGATGGCCTTAATTAGAGTTTTTATATGGTATTAACCTTAGTATATCAACAGATTAATTTACACTCACCCAAATGACCAGTTTCTATGTCTTCTGCTTGCTCATCCCTTGTGTTTGTGTGTATGTATTAAATGCATGTGTGTACGAGGGTGAGTGTCACTAACAGGTCCTCTGTCTTCCCCCAGGACAACACTAACCTCTACATGGTGATGGAATATGTGCCGGGTGGAGAGATGTTTTCCCATCTACGGAGAATTGGCAGATTTAGGTTAGTAGCCTGTACGCAGCGTCAAGTTTTACTGCAGCGAAGCAGTGTAAAGGCAAATACAGAAGTAAACATGGTGACCTGTGTACTCTCACATCAACTGTGTTCTCTCTACTCTCTTGTATTCAAATTTTTTACTATTAAGATGTATTCTCTCAATTAAGGGTTAGAGTTGGACTTTGTTCTATTTCTTTTTTTCTGTACTACACACTCTGCTAAACTGCTCTCTGTCTATCGTCCTGTGTGTGTGTGTGTGTGTGTGTGTGTG